TAATGGATCCCGGGCATCTCCCTCTGGTGATTGCTACCAGAGTGCAATTAAAGGGACCTTGCAAATTTCAGGCAGGTGGTGGGTGGTAGGAGGCAGTACACTTAAAGAAAACATCACCTAGTTTACAAAAAACATGAAAGATCAATTTCTGCATTCAGTCCATTTGGAGATACACTATTCAATTGATGAATCCAAAACATTTCTCTCTGTAAGAGGCCTCTTCTTAAGTCAGCCCTTATTGACATTTCATGTTTTTTGTAAACTAGGCTGATTTATTCTCTTATGATTTATTTATCATGTTGTAGTGCTTCAGATTGTAATACATAGATATCATTCTTTATAAGTCTTAATGACTGTTTGATTTGTGGGTCAGACTCTCACGACTGTTGTCTTTATACTTGTTTACTTACCCTGGGGAGACCACCAGAAGAGCCCTGCTGGGTCAGACCAGGGAGGGTCCATCCAGTCCAGCATCCCGTCTCACACAGGGGCCAACCAGTTCCTCTGGAGGGCCAACAATAGGGCAGGGAGGCCAAGGCCTTCCCCTGATAAGGACACCAGAAGAGCCCTGCTGGGTCAGACCAGGGAGGGTCCCTCCAGTCCAGCCTCCCGTCTCACACAGGGGCCAGCCAGTCCCTCTGGAGGGCCAGCAACAGGGCAGAGAGGCCGAGGCCTTCCCCTGAGAAGAGCATCAGAAGAGCCCTGCTGGGTCAGGCCAGGGAGGGTCCCTCTAGTCCAGCCTCCCGTCTCACACAGGGGCCAACCAGTTCCTCAACCTCAGAAGAGCACTGCTGGGTCAGATCAGGGAGGGTCTCACACGGGGGCCAGCCAGTTCCTCTGGAGGGCCAACAACAGGGCAGAGAGGCCGAGGCCTTTCCCCTGAGAAGAACCTCAGAAGGCCCTGCTGGGTCAGACCAGGGAGGGTCCATCCAGTCCAGCCTCCCGTCTCACACAGGGGCCAGCCAGTCCCTCTGGAGGGCCAGCAACAGGGCAGAGAGGCCGAGGCCTTTCCCCTGAGAAGAACCTCAGAAGAGCCCTGCTGGGTCAAACCAGTGAGGGTCCCTCTAGTCCAGCCTTCTGTCTCACACGGGGGCCAGCCAGTTCCTCTGGAGGGCCAACAACAGGGCAGAGAGGCCGAGGCCTTTCCCCTGAGAAGAACCTCAGAAGAGCCCTGCTGGGTCAGACCAGTGAGGGTCCCTCTAGTCCAGCCTTCCGTCTCACACAGGGGCCAGCCAGTTCCTCTGGAGGGCCAACAACAGGGCAGAGAGGCCGAGGCCTTTCCCCTGAGAAGAACCTCAGAAGAGCCCTGCTGGGTCAGACCAGTGAGGGTCCCTCTAGTCCAGCCTCCTGTCTCACACAATGGCCAGCCAGTTCCTCTGGAGGGTCTCACACAGGGGCCAGCCAGTTCCTCTGGAGGGACAAAAACAGGGCAGAGGCCAAGGCCTTCCCCTGAGAAGAACCTCAGAAGAGCCCTGCTGGGTCAGACTAGGGAGGGTCCATGTAGTCCAGCCTCCTGTCTCACACAATGGCCAGCCAGTTCCTCTGGAGGGCCAGCCACAGGGCAGAGAGGCCGAGGCCTTCCCCTGAGAAGAACACCAGAAGTCCCCTGCTGAATCAGACCAGTGAGGGTCCATCCAGTCCAGCATCCTGTCTCACACAGTGGCCAACAACAAGTTCCTCTGGAGGGCCAACAACAGGGCAGAGAGGCCGAGGCCTTCCCCTGAGAAGAACCTCAGAAGAGCCCTGCTGGATCAGACCAGGGAGGGTCAATCCAGTCCAGCCTCCTGTCTCTCACACAGTGGCCAACAACAAGTTCCTCTGGATGGCCAACAACAGGGCAGAGAGGCCGAGGCCTTCCCCTGAGAAGAACATCAGAAGAGCCCTGCTGGGTGAGACTAGGGAGGTTCCATCTAGTCCAGCCTCCCGTCTCACACAGGGGCCAGCCAGTTCCTCTGGAGGGCCAGCAACATGGCAGAGAGGCCAAGGCCTTCCCCTGATAAGAACACCAGAAGAGCCCTGCTGGGTCAGACCAGTGAGGGTCCATCCAGTCCAGCATCCCGTCTCACACAGTGGCCAGCCAGTTCCTCTGGGGGGCCAACAACAGGGCAGAGAGGCCGAGGCCTTCCCCTGTATAATGTACTGGGTTTGAGACGTGTATAGTGATCAGCTCATAGTTTATTAGTGATTCAGCTTAACTCTGAGAACTCTAGCAGGGCTGGAGCCCTGCTTATATGCATGCAAAACACCACATACACACTCCCCGTGATAGGCTATTTATATTGCAACTCCTACTCCATAGGTCCATTCCAGGATCCTGGCTATCTATTGTTCTGGTGTACAAGGTTAGTCAGTTTCCAGGTTCGGTTCAGGCTCAGTACATAACACCCTGAGAAAAACATCAGAAGAGCCCTGCTGGGTCAGACCAGTGAAGGTCCATCTAGTCCAGCCCCGTCTCACACAGTGGCCAACCAGTTCCTCTGGAGGGCCAGCAACAGGGCAGGGAGGCCGAGGCCTTCCCCTGAGGAGAACCTCAGAAGAGCCCTGCTGGGTCAGACCAGTGAAGATATAAGGGTACAGCAAAAATAAGGATGACAACTACAAAAAGATTGCTGTAAGAGTTCACACAATCATAGAACAAAGAAAGATTTTATACAAAAGCTAAAGTAATTTCTCTTCTTTATTCCAACAATCTCATTAGCATAAACCTCGTTATCGTTCTGTTATCTGTTTGTCCGGGAATTGAGACTTATAGAGCTATTCATAGCCAGAACGATAATGAGGTTTATACTAATGAGATTGTTGCGTGAGATAAAAACATCTGGACACCGATTTTTGACAAAGACTTTGAAACGAACTTGAAAGAACTCGAGCTGTTCGTCATTTCACCTTATTTCACCAAAGTGCACCTATGGAATAAAGAAGAGAAATTACTTTAGCTTTTGTATAAAATCTTTCTTTGTTCTATGATTGTGTGAACTCTTACAGCAATCTTTTTGTAGTTGTCATCCTTATTTTTGCTGTACCCTTATATGTTTTGTGTCACACAGGGGCCAACCAGTTCCTCTGGAGGGCCAGTTACAGGGCAGGGAGGCCGAGGCCTTCCCCTGAGGAGAACCTCAGAAGAGCCCTGCTGGGTCAGACCAGTGAAGGTCCATCTAGTCCAGCCCCGTCTCACACAGTGGCCAACCAGTTCCTCTGGAGGGCCAGCAACAGGGCAGGGAGGCCGAGGCCTTCCCCTGAGGAGAACCTCAGAAGAGCCCTGCTGGGTCAGACCAGTGAAGGTCCATCTAGTCCAGCCCCGTCTCACACAGTGGCCAACCAGTTCCTTGGGAGGGCCAGCAACAGGGCAGAGAGACTGAGGCCTTCCTCTGATGTTGCCTCCTCCTGGCACTGGGAGTCAGAGATTTAGTGCCTCTGAACATGGAGGTTCCCCTCAGTCACCAGGGCAGGTAGCCACTGACAGACCTCTCCTCCATGAATCTCTCTACTCCCTTTTTAAAGCCATCTGTGCCCGTAGCCATCACTACATCCTCTGGCAGCGAATTCCACATTTTATTTAATCACTCTCTGTGTAAAGAAATATTTCATTTTGTCTGTCTTCAATCTGCTGCCTATCAGCTTCATTTGATGCCCTGAGTTCTAGTATTTTGGGAGAGGGAGTTCCCTTTGTCTGCTCTCTCCACCCCGTGCGTAATTTTAGAAACCTCTCTCATGCCCCCCTAATCGTCTCTTTCCTAAACTAAAAAGTCCCAGTTAGTTGCTGTAGATTTTCCGGGTTGTCTGGCCATGGTCTTGGCATTGTAGGACCTGACGTTTCGCCAGTAACTGTGACTGGCATCCTCAGAGGTATAAACACAGAAAGATGGAAGACTCTCTGTGTCAAGCTTCCTGTCTTGAAAAACACAAAAGGCTGTACATCAGACAATAGCACTACAGATAAGATTAGAATTTCAACAACCTCCTCAGGAAGCAGGAAACCACCTCAGGAAACAAAAGAACCTCCTCAGGAAAGCTCCTCCATTAGCATGTCCTTAGCCTGGGGAACTCCTACAAGACAATGACTCGGCCCTACCCCACCTTCTGGAGTAGATATAAAATTACTGCCTACCATTTTCTTCTCAACTTGACACAGAGAGTACTCTGTCTCTCTATATTATACCTCTGAGGACGTCAGTCACAATTACTGGCGAAACGTCAGGTCCTACAATGGCAAGACCACGGCCAGGCAACACGGAAGATCTACAGCAACTAATGAACTCCGGCCGTGAAAGCCTTCGACAACATATTAAAAAGTCCCCGACTCGCCAGCCGTTCCTCCTAGGGAAGGGGCTCCAGCTCCCAAATAATCTTGCTCACCCCCTGCTGCATTTTTTCCAGCTCTGTGGTGTCCTTTTTTTAAAAAAAATTAAAAATTAACAATGCATTTTAATACAAAATAGTTGTCCTAAAATATACAATTAACAAATATCACTTTAATTCCAGGTTTTTACTAAAAAATACTTTAAAGCTTCAGTATTGCATTGGACGGCTCTAGAATTAAGATGGTCCCTAAAGGTAGCAAGATTTCCCAAATTCCTTTCAATTTTCCTTCTTGGTAGCGTTGATGCTTGATATTTCATCTTTCCTGAAGACACGGCATCTTCACTGTGGCGTCCTTTTTGAGGTACCCACGGATGGTGCCCAGGGCCAACCAAGGTTGGCAAGAAAAGGCCAGATGCGGGGAGTCTCCCAGACTGCCCTTTTTCAAAAGGGAGGAGGGAGGGAAGACTGTTCCTTCATTTTTTGGGGAGGGGGAGGGATTGGGGGCTTCTTGATTTGTCTCTGGTTGTAGCTGGCGATGTTTCAGCCATGATTGTAAGCTGCCTTGAACCCAGAGGAAAAGTGGGATATACATTCTAATGAATTAAGTAATGAAAGAGGGAGAGAGCTGCAGACAATCCTGCCTGAGGCGGAAGCATTTGACGGCATTTGTTTCTTCTGCTTTCTCTTTCTTTCTTTAGGCACTTCAGGTATCCCGGTGCCAGATGAGCGTCAGGTGAATGGGACCGTGGGGGGATCGGTCCTGCTCACTGCCCTGATCCCCCCCGGAAAAGCCGTGGCCGAAATCGAGTGGAATTTCCAGCTTCAAGATGACACGGTCCTTGTGATTGCGGAATTCACGAAGGGGAACTTTGGGCGGCCCGATCCTGGCGACCGATTTCAGCAGCGGCTCGAGAGGGCGAATGAGACCACGCTGAGGCTCAAGAACCTGGTGAAGGAGGACAGCGGAGTCTACACGGCTCACGTGACATTCGAAAGCGGAGAGGCACCAACGCAGACATTTCGCCTCGTGGTCTCTGGTGAGAAATCTTCCCAGTTCCTTTTCCGTGCAACTGAGTTGCCCCTTGGACTCCCAAGTTCTCCTACTCCCCCCCCCCCGTTCTGCTGACAAGTGAGTGAGAGGTAGACCGGGGGGTTTTCACTTGTGCCCCCTGCCCACCGGGAGGCAGTGAGATGTGGGGGGCCAAGGACAGGCAAGAGGGTGCTGGCTGCACCCACCCTCTGCTCTGCAGCCTTCGCGGGGGTGGGTGGGGGTGGCAAGGTAGGCCCAGCCTCCCTCAGGTGCCAGGGGGGGAGAGGGCAGGTGAGCAGATGGGGGGCAGCACAGTGGCTGCTGTCTCTTAAGAACATAAGGACATAAGAGACGCCAATGTTGGATCAGGCCAAAGGCCCATCCAGTCCAACACTCTGTGTCATGCAGTGGCCAAAAATACCAGGGGCCCTCAGGAGGTCCAGCAGTGGGGCCGGGACACCAGAAGCCCTCCCACTGTTGCCCACCATGTACCAAGAATACAGAGCAGCACTTGCCCCAGACAGTGTTCCATCTATAAGAACACAAGAGAAGCCAATTTTGGGTCAGGCCAATGGGCCATTCCAGTCCAACACTCTGTGTCACACAGTGGCCATCAGGAGGTCAACCAGTGGGGCCAGAACACTAGAAGCCCTCCCACTGTTGCCCCCCCCCAAGCACCAAGA